CTGTCCAATTCGAGCGCGTAGCGAGATGTGACCGCCCGGCGATCGATATTGCCTGGCGAGGGGGGAAGGGGGGGACAGCGCGCAGTTGCCGGCGAGTTGTTTACGTCGCCGCTCCCGCGTCTCGCGTCCCCATCCCTCGCCTGGCAATATCGATTGCCGTGCGGTCACATCTCGCTACGCGCTCGAATTGGACAGTGGGCAGGGCAAAGACGACGATTTTCGATAATTTTTTTCTCGTTAACTATTGCGAAAATTGCAAAATGTTTCAGGATTTTTCTGTTCATCTCGATCCGTTCTACCTTCTCACGAGCTCGTGGACAAATGTTATAACTCACCCTGTATATGCATAGAATATGTATAGAAAGCAAAAATTAGATTATTTCGCTGAAAAAGAGAAAAAGAGGTTTGTGACGTACAAGCTATATAAGGATTGTGATGCAGATCATAATTCATGTAAAAATCTGTTAGTAAAGTAAAAGCAGGAAGGCGATATTTTAGGAATGAGAGTAGGCGTTTAAATAACAATATAAAAAAAGTTTACGTAGAATTAATTAATTAGTAACTAATTTTGTTAATTTTAGTAGGTTTATTTGAAACCTAGTTTTTGAAAATTCTTGTTTGAGTAATGAGATTTCAGCTGTTATTTCGTGTAATTTCAACTTGGTAGGTAAAATTGAAAAAAAGTTAACTTGATGTTAGATTCATGCAGGATGTTTTAAAAAGTTGAGCCAGCTAAATTAGTCATGTTCTTTTCATTACGACAAACAAAAAGTTGGCATAAATCACAAGAGGTTCCTAAACCGCTTCGTCAAAAGTTAGTGTCTAATTAAGATTAAAAGAATAAGTTTCGATGTTAACGTAATACATGATATTTATTTTTTTTAATTTCACAAATTAAAAACGAAGCGAAACTTGAAGATGTTTAAAACATTCCGCGCGTGAAGTAACGCAATTCTGAATTCTTCGCATCATGGACTGTTTTATGCGCTCGAACTCTCCCGGAATATTGCATATCATTCGACATTCATCTTCTATTTTTGGAAAGTTGTTGTTCGTTGTCAATCGGAACTGAGTAAACAATTGTTTTCAAATGGTCCCACAAATGAAAGCAAAGTGGATTTAAGTCGGACGAGCGTGTGGACCATGTTTGTGGATTACCAATCCATCAACCAGGATATGCTATGTCCAAAAACTGTTTCTGCGAAACAACTGAAATGTGGAAGTGCACCGTCATGTATAAATCACATGCGTACTTTTAAATCTAGTGAAACATCTTCTGATAAACTTGGAAGATCATTTCGTAAGAGAAATTGTCATCAGATCCTCCATTAATTTTTGCGGTGAAACGAATGAGCTAATAAGAAACTCACGAATTATATTAGTTTAAACATTCATTGAAAATTCTTATTAGTGCTTTGTTTGCATAGTGGCATGTAAATTCTCACATGTCAAAACATGTATGTTGTGAAAATTCAAAATTCCAGATCGAATCTCGTTTTATTAGTAGAGGAATGGATCATAAAAATGTACCTATATCATTCACAATCTGTCGAAACCAGACGCTAAATCTAAAATATTTGATGTGATAGATAGTCTTGTAGTGCTTGGATTCTTTGTATATGTTGATAAGTTCTTAAAATCCGCTAAACAGAAGCGTTGTTCGAACCTTCCCTCAAAGCAATTCTTCTTGCACTATTATCTGTATCTTCTTCAATGTGAGCCAATACTCGCTCTTTCAACTGTACAATCCTCGCAGTTCGCGGCTGCCCATAATCTCGAGTAGGAGATTTAAAGCTTCCAGTTTCTTATAAACGTCTGCGCAATCTTTCGAATGTCCTGTCATTAGAAAAGACATTCGAAAGATTG